GCGCGCGCGCGTCTCGGTGTGTGTGTCGCGTTAAGGCTGTATGTCTCGGGTTGTGTGTGTGTACGTGTGTGTGTGCGCGCGCGCGCGCGCGCTGAGAGCCGGGGAGCCAGGCAGACCCCGGGAAGGAGGAGTTATGTAGATTACGGATGAACATTCTGGAGGGGAGCAAGGCGAAGAGGGAAGGAGAAGCTGAGGCGAGAGTGTGAGGAGCAGCGGAGGCCCTTCCCGCTGAAGCAGGGGGCGGCGGCGGAGGCGGTGGCGGCGGCGGCGGCGGCGAAGGAGGTAGAAGAGCAGGAGGAACTGGACGCACGGGCTGGAGGCGGCAGCGGCGGCGGCGGCTGCTGCTGCGGCTGCGATTCGGCGCTTTGAGCCGGAACAGCCGGTAAACTTGGGCGCCACGTTCCCAGTGACCGGCCCCCGAGGATGGTGAATGCAAGCTGCTGACCCTGCCACCGCCGCTGTTTCTCGGGGGCTGCTGAGAAAGGGGCCCCTGTCTCCTTCCTTTGCCCGGCCGTGGGTGAACCTGCAAGCTTCTTAGCCACTAGGAGGACTTTTTTTTGAAAGGAAACGAGGGAGGGAGAAGTAAAGAGGGAGAAAGCGAAGGGGAGCTCGTCCATCAATTGAAGCACAGTTCACTATGATCTTACTCACATTCAGCACTGGAAGACGGTTGGATTTCGTGCATCATTCGGGGGTGTTTTTCTTGCAAACCTTGCTTTGGATTTCATGTGCTACAGTCTGCGGAACGGAGCAGTATTTCAATGTGGAGGTAAGAGTACGAGGGCTTTCTTCTACCCCCTCTTGCCTGGGTTGCTCGCTGAAACATTTCGTTCACTCTTCCGAGCCATGTAGCTCAAAGCAGCCAGGGTCTCAGCACATTGTTTCCGTTGCTGCCGCCGAGACCCTTGCCGAGTTTCCTAGTGTCTTAGGTGATGGATGCGCTTGAGACCGAGAATCCGTTATCCTCAGCAGCACAAAGCACGATGCTGCGCGCTCAAAGGCACAATTGTAGCCGATCCATCTTTTCACGCTGGAAAGAGAAGTCCTACGTACAGCAAACGTGTAGGTTAATAAAGGCAGCTTGGGTTTGTGATGGATATACAGCTCGGGAAAGATGGAATTAATTGCTTGGTATCATGTGCTTCTTTGGTATTGTTCCTGAAATCTTTCTTTCCGTGATTGATGTCTAACAAAGGAGGTTAAAAATCAAAGAATCTAGAGGAGAGCGTGGGAATACTTGTTATGTTTAATAACATTACATTGCGATAAAACACTTGACTAGACGGTCTTTTTCTCATTTAGACATAACTTAATACACTGTAACTAGATCTGGCTACACAGAGGACATAAAATCCATCTCTTTTTAAGTGTCTTCCCTCCCCCTCCCTTGCCAATTGAAAATAAATGTGGCCCAATGTAGTAGTTCTGGGGTGTATTTTTAATTTTATTTCACACCCTCATGGCAAAACTGAGAAATTTTAAACTGTCACTTGCTTTACTTTGATAGCTTTGGGAACAGCTGAGCACAAAGCAAAAGGGAACTTAAGGATAAGGACTTGTCAGACCTCTGGCAAAGTACTCTTCCTGTCATCAACTCAGCACTAAAGCCAGAAATGTGCAATAAATCAGTGGAAGCGGGTGTACACCTGGGCTTAACACCAGTGTATCATCTACATGGTGGAATACAATGACAGTAAGAGGGTCTTAGTAAAATACACTCCTTTTGATAAATCTTAAGTCTTCTGACATCTCAGAAGACTTTTGATTAAGCCTCTAAGGAATTAGTGTGTGTGTGTTGCGCTTACACTGTTGATCTCATAAAGCTTACTGTCATTTTGTTGGGAGTGTGTGTTTATACAATAGAAGGACCTGTTGCACAGTATTTGAGCATACTCTGTGTAACTGATTTATGTACAAAGTGTGCATAATAAATGCCATGTGTGAAAGCATTCTCAATCTAACTCTGTGTTTATATAAACTGTTCTGAGAACTTCATGTAATAAGTGATGGTTGGTAGAGAAACAAAGTATTTGGAGAAGTAACAGCCATTATTAAAACCCAAAGACATTTACAGATGTTAAGTGTGAATATATTACAGAAAACCCCCAATTTGAAAGACAAAATCCATTTAACCCTTAAAGAAAATAAAGCTTTGTTTTTCTGTATAAAAAGACAAATGGAAAGGGGCTGAAAGTCTGACTTTCCTTGATTGCAAATTTGAACTTTCGGAATTACATGCCGCCAATGGATTTTTGTACCTAATGTTTAAATCAAGAGATAATTTGATGTTGAAATTAAGGAATAACGTTGTCATTGACTGGAGGAATGAGAGTAGGAAACTGTTAATTATAATGTTATAAACAGAAGGGCCTGTTACTACTTGGTGGTGGTCATGGTGCTGAGTGGGGCATGGGGTGGTTGGTTAAAACTAAGTGCTATGTTGTACCTTGCTCACTGTGAAGAGGAAAGGAGGGAGGGCTAACCTGAATTGTTGGCTACTTCCCTTTGGGAAGTCTAACATTTGCTTTCAGGTATTATTGGGATAACATAAGTGTTTTGATGATTATTAGGTTTCCTTTTTGAGACTAACACATAAATTAGATTGTATGTCTTTGCTGAGTTGAATCAGTCAGTTCAATTAGATAGTATCAGGCAAAAAAAGTTATGATTTTACTAAAAATACCCCACTGATTTAGTTCTGAATTCCCATGATCTCTTTCTTTATTAAAATGTATATGAAAATGTGGTTCATGGGGGAAAAAAGAGTTATTTTCTCATTTTTGGAGTATTTAAATTATTCCATCCATGTATGTTGAGTAATGCAATGATTAAATTATGTAAGATAAGAGGGATATGCTACCGGGGAACTAAAAAAAAAAAAAAATTATTTGCTACAAAAGGGATTTTATAACAGTTAAAAGTATTAGAGTAGATTATGATTCATAGTTTGTATTATTCCCAAATAGTTTTTTTAAGCCCCTGAGCATTTTCTTAGTTAGGCTTATATGCTTCTTTTATGCGTAATGATAACTCCCATTCCCTTTTTTAAAAAATCATAGGGAGTAGCTGGTAGCCAAATCAAAATATTGTAAAGAACATAGGATGACAAGATGTTTTCTGACGTGAATTTCGACCTGATTCATTTGTGTTAGAGTTTTTTTTTTTTTATTGGATAGGAAACACTAATGGGAAGAGTAGTCCATCACTTTTCCAGAAGAGGCACTGATACTGTGTTTCTCATTCTTGGTTGCAAAACATATACTGGGCATGCTGTATTTGATTGATTCTCAAGGACAGTCTTAAAATAAACAGTAATGGTATTAATCATGCATGAAGCTCATATGATCATAATTTTTTTTTTCAAGTGAGCACATCAAGTTATTATAGTTGGAATGAAGCTTCGGAGAGATGGTTTTTATGCTGACAGCTAAGATTATAATGTTTAGTGTTTTATTCCTTACTGAACTTAACAACTGGTGGTACCACATACTTTTCATCCCTATGATTTAAGATTTAAACCCTCCTTTTTTTTTTTTTTTCTTCTTCTGGGGAGGCAGGGATAGAGGTATTCATGCTCTTTCCTGTCTGTTTTTTATGGAAGTAAACATTTGGGATTTTCAGTTACCCAGAGTGAGGGCTATTTTTTAATATGCTGAGGAAAGCCTGTTACAGAACAAGAATGCTTTTGTGTTTTTATTAAGAGGCAAAAAGGAATATCTCTGACAGCTAAGAAGGGCTCAGACTCTACCAGAAGTAGTACTATGAAAGCAATTCAATACATTCCTCTCATATTTGAGGGAAAAGAATTTTTAATGTTCAATATTCAGTATATGTTCATTCAGGTAAAGATTTTTGTCTATCATTGGAGCCGTTTTTGGAAAGTTATTCTTTAAGTGTGTAGTATTAGCATGATACAAAGGACTTATGTAGCTAATATTAACTAAAAGTCAGAGACTGCTGTCTGACTCAGAGGTGTTCATTGGTCAGAAGCAGCTTGTTCAATAAGAGCTATGGTTTAACCTTCACTCTTTTAAAAACCATTTCGTCTCTAAAATAGTTACCATGTTGTTGTGGGAATGTCCATGATCCTGGGGTCCCTTTTTGGGGGGGGTGCTTATACCATAAGCATTTTCCTCATAAAATTTGAGAAGAGTATAGTTTATGATAGTAATAACTCTCATCAACTCTGATAATTGTCAAATATTAAATATGTTTAATTTTAAATACAGTATTTTTTGTTTATAATAATAGCATACGTTTCTAGTGAGAAAAACGGTTTTAAGCCAATTTACTGGTGAAACAATAACGTTTAAAACCCTGAATGATGCATATATGAAAGCATAGGAAGTTGATTGCCTTTTTGTGCCAAAAAATGTCTTGATAAAGTAAAAATTGATTTTGTTGCTCTGAATTTAAAAAGTGAAAGGAGATTCTGGATTTCAAAGTGATCTTTTTGACAAATATCAATTGTGAGCATAACCATTTACTAGACTTTACTTGCAGTGTTGCTATAACTGATTTAGGACTTACTTACCTCTTTGTCAGAATTATCTAGACCTACTTAAAAGGTTAGAATTTGTTTTGGGCAGCATAGTATTGCATATAAACTTGGCCGTCATTTGTCATGACACTCTTCGGAGATAAAACATTATAATTTACAGATTTTAAAACATCGTACAGGTAGGGGACCCTTTTTTATATCTTCTGTTCTCCACTTGCTTAAATAATTAAGATTCATTATTTCATTTGCTGATGGAAGAGTGATGCCACCATGATCTCATCAGCCTACTTGAATGAGGGAACCTCCTGCCTGCATCCCATAATTCTCTACCATAGCAGTTTATACTGGCCAACAACAGCAGTTATGGGACTGACTCATTAAAGTTTTTTGTCTGCTACAAATCCTAAGTTTTATAAGTCATCTCAAGTATGCTGGCCATTCAGAATGTTCAGAAGGACCAAAATCTATGACAGGGAGACCTAGAAGGCTGGCTAATCCTAAGGTTCATCAGCTTCTTCTGTGCTCCACCCTGACTATATCTTTATCTGTTCAAAGTTGCATGGTTGAGTTTGCCCTTATGTAGGGTTACTCATAAAAGCCTTACTTGAAAAAAAACCCAAACTAATTGCCGTCCAGTCGGTTCTGACTCACAGTGACCCTATAGGACAGAGTAGAACTGTCCCTCAAGGTTTCTGAGGAGTGGGTGGTGGATTCCAACTGCTGACCTTTTGGTTTGCAGCCATAGCTCTTAACCACTGTGCCACTAGGGCTCCAGAAGCCTTACAGGTGAGCATATTTCTTATTATCCCCATGAGAAAGCCACAGAGAACAACAGTCCAAGTCCATCTCTCTTTATACATCTGGTCTTTCTCTTTCACTATCTTTTCCCCTATCCTAGTATGGCTAGAATCTGATTAAATAATCACTTTCATATCTCTGGAGTTAGGTTAAAAATGACATCTAAAGTTTCAACTTTTTCTTATTCACTCTTTTCAAGGTCATAACATAAAAAAATTGTTCACTTTTAAGCTTACTTCTGTTTTTAACTTTATTATTTCATTTCTTACTTTTTCCTTGGATTGCTCTGTTGCTTCTCAACAACTTTTTTTCCTGTTTTTTTTTTTTTATTGTCGTGAAAACATACACACCAAAACATCTGCCAACACAACTTCCACGTTTACACCTGAATGACATTGATTACATTTTTCATGTTGTGCCACCATTATAACATAAAAAAATTTTAGTTCTCTTGTTAAGTGGCATAATTC